TTTCTTGTAATTATCTCATAAAGAATAAGAATGTTGTAGATCTATAGACGATCTGTCATATCTATAGAGAAATTGGAATTTCTTTTTCAATAATTATTTTTCTTATTTTAAAAATAAATAATAATTAATTATATTTTTTGTGATCTGACCATAGGGATTAAATATGCTACAGATATATGTATGATCTATCATATTCATATAGTAATTGAAATTTCTTCTTCAATACATACATACATACATACATACATACATACATACATACATACATACATACATACATACATACATACATACATACATACATACATACATACANCATACATACATACATACATACATACATACATACATACATACATACATACATACATACATACATACATACATACATACATACACATATATATATATATATATTATGTTTTGTATCACATAGGTTATTAGTAGCACCATCATTTATGAAGGTATGTTCTATACTTCAATTACTTGATATATTTTTTAATTGTGAATATGTAATGCTAGATATTTAATCATCCTTACATCATTCATCATTTTAGTATTACTAGTAGAATGGCCTGGGCGATGCATGGGGTATTTGAACCAATGGTTGATTAATCACAATAAGCATTGGGGTCCTGATTCAACCCCCCAACACCTCAATGTATCATGTTGGTAAGGAGGTTGAGTGGACTTCCAGTCAGGAGGTCTCTGATTGGTTCGTTTGAAGAATTGTTATTGTCTAGTTGATTGTCATCTGGCAAACTCAGGTTAATATCTATACTTGCAACTTAAGAGTTTGTACAGTGTAGACTATTCCTAATAAACAATTGAACCATTGTTAGTAACCGTGCAAAGTACAATAATAAGCAAATGCATATGTGAACAATTCAGATATTTGATAGGTTGAAGGATTGCATCGGGCAGAGATCAGTATGTGGGTATATTTTCTAGTTTTCTTAGCAAAAACCTATACAAGGAAGATTGGGGCTGAAAATAAAGTGTAAAATTTTCTTAAGCAATCACTTTGTGCTAAAATGAAAGAGAAGTACTAATAAAGTTCCTACTAGGAATTGACAGTTAATTGGACCTAACATTAAGTAGTTTCAGATGGGTTTGGTATATCTAGTTAGCTTCATTTACAAACAACCTAAGATATCAACTACAAGTTTGAAAATGATGATGTAATCATAATGAGATATAAATGAAGGTGCAAATATTTTAGACAATATGAATTCATACTGCACAAATTTCAAAAAAAAATCAAATCTTGCTGCAATAGATACAAGAAATAATGGAATATAGTAGGAAATTTATGGGAAGATACAAATAGGGGTGGCAATGAGCAGAGCTTTTCACGAGCTGCTCTCAGTACGTGAAAAGCTGGGCTCAACTCGGTTTCTACCGAGCTCGAGCCCAATTCAGTGGCTCGATTATTAAACGAGCCAAGCTCAAGCATACTAGAGCTCGACTCGTATATATATATATATATATATATATATATATAATATAATAAAAATATTATAATTATTATATATTATAGTTCTTAATTTTTTAAATATAAAATAAAAAAATTATATATAATTTTTATTTTTATAAAATATAAAATGAGCCGAGCTGAGCCGAGTTCGAGCTCAAGGTTTTGGCTCGAACCGAGCTCAAGCTCGAGCTCAAGGTTTTGGCTCAAACCGAGCTCAAGCTCGAGCTCGAACCTTGTAAAATAGTCTCAAGCCGAGCTCGAGCCTAGTACTATTCGGATTGGCTCGGCTCTAATCCACCCCTAGATACAAATGAATAGTGGATTCCTTGGGGAGTGTAAATTAAGAAAGTTTGTAACCAAAATACAAAGGCAGCATTGATGTATCATATAAACAAATAAAACAATGTTTTTAGGAATTATTTTAATAAAAATCAGATATATGCTAAATAGGATAAAATATACCTGGCTTTCTACTTGAAATCACTAATATGAAAGTCTACTTGTTCCATACTTTTATCTAGTTGTATCAGGATTTCTTTGAATTGAAAATAGAACTAGGGCAAGAAATGTTTCAGACTATTTGGAATTTGCAAAAAAAAAAGAAAAAAAAAACTATGAACTCCTACAAGGAATTGATAGGTAATTGAACCTAACATTAAGTAGTTTTAGATGGGTTTGGGTTCTAATTAGTTTCATTAATTAACAATTAAAAAATATTCAGAGAGAAAAGTTGTACTAGAATTGACATAATCAACACTTCAGAGAGGTGAATCTTACTTGGATGCATTGGAATTGTATATTAGGGGTGACAGTGGGACAAAAACACATTTGTTATTTGGCCCCACTCTCATTTCCACTTTGCAGGGGCAATGTCAGAATTGTATATTAGGGTGTTCGGCCATTGTACTTGCCCCACTTTGATAGACTGCGTATGACCTTATGGTAGTTAAATATTGGGAAAATGAAAAATATAGAGGGTAAAAAGGGAAAGTAAAATCAGGTTTTTTAATGCAACAATTGTTTCCATCCTCATTTTTATAAATGACAGACATGTGTTGAATTATCAAGTATTGGTATTTTGTAGTTATAACCTGATAGTGTGTGATCTGAAAGCTCCTAACTGGAGGGCAGTTTGAACGTTGGTCTGCTTTGTTGACCGATCGAACTGCAAGAAAGGGATACTTAGAGGACCCAGGGTGGCTTACCCGACGTGGGTGCTCCGATGCTTAAGTTAGTATTATGTAGTGCGAACTGAAAGTTTGTAGAGTAGAAAGCTAGTGAGCAAATAATCGCGTGTACCTTATGTTGTTGAGGTAGATGCCTTTATATAGGCAGGTTGCCGTGGGTCTCATGAAACGCTTCTGAGATCTTCGGCCTGCACTGTTAGGAATCCATTCCACACCAGGAGGACTTCATGGTAGCCGATAAGGCTCATCGTGTCCGTCCGATCCAAGCGGGATGAGGATAAGACCTACAGACGTGCGGTATGATCCCAAAGAGCTCAGAGACAGCTGGATTGCTTCTAGAAGTCTATTACGTGTCATTTCGGCACGTCGAGCCATCACAAGCCACTCGGACCTCGGTTTAGGCCGAGGTGCCGAAGGTACCCAAGGTGACCTGACCTGCTGAGGTGGCAGGAAGTGCCTTATCAATGTCCAGTCAACAGGTCGCGTCCACATGTTTGCTCATTCGTAGGTCGGGCCAAATCACCCCTCATCATAACCCTTCTAGACAATGTCTATATGTTCTTGTATATTGATTATGATATGGTTCTTTATGAAACCCACTAGAATGTGTTGATCTAATGTATGCATACCTCATTGAGGCCTTACATTGAGTGTTATTAATATATTTTTATGACTTAGGAGTATCAATAGTGTTTTCATGAGTATCTTGATTTTTCTCCAACATGCATGTGTATCCAAGGTGTATTTCAAATACATCTCTTAAAAGCAATTTCCAATACAATTTTTGTTTTCGATACTTTAAACTTTGGAAAAAACCAGCCTATAATAATATCTATCGGATACTTTGAACTTTGGAAAAAACCAGCCTATAATAATATCTATCGGATGTTTGGTTTGGTTGGTTTAAACTGAACCGAGATCTCTCCCTGCTTAGATTGATTTTATTGGATTTATTTTTGTAACTTTGCAGTCTTCTTGTAGCTTGTAGCTAGGGGCTCGTGTGAAATGACCTGGAAAATTTAAAAGAAAGAAGTTCTATCCAAGTGTTTCAAATGCTTGGGGATTTCAAAATCAAATCAATATTTTTATTAATTATTCTTTATTGATCATACGGTTTTATAACAATTGTTTTGAAAAATAAAACACGTTTATTTGATCATTTGAATATTTTGTTCAAATATCAGAATATAAAGTAATGAAAAAACTGGTAAATAATTAATTAATGGATAGGGTTAATGTGCATTTTCTTAGGAATAATAGCTATGCCTATTGCCTAGGGGTGGGAACTAGGATTTCAGACCTACTTGCAGCCATTCATTAACTATTTCGGGGTGGGTTTATTTTACTCGGTTTACAAATTCATAAATGAAAACCCAAACTGAGCAGTTGCTTTATACATATTTTTAAACCGAGACTAAAAAAAAAAATTGGATTGAATTGAATCAGGTTGGTCGGTTTGGTCGATTTGACCCATCTCATGAACTGCCCTATTAGATCTGCCTAATAGGGCAACCTACCAGTATGTCTCAAAAGGGAAACAAAGCATACACTTGTGACACCACAGTTTGACAAAGACTATCACAATGGAGGTGTTAGCGCTTCTCGATTCTCTAATATCTCTCACAGATGTCATCGTAATCGTAAATCATCACAAGAATGAATATCATCGACATCCTTTGTCACTGTTGCCGTTGAGAACCGGAGAAGACGGGTTAATAGGGGTGAAAGAAGACGTTATAGACAGAAGCATAGAGAGTAGAGACCAAGGAAAAAATTTTCATGCAGCAATACAATATTGTTCTTCACCAGAAACGGGAAGACTTTGGCTTCTCGGAAGAAAAACAACCTTGGCTGTTTTTGGGGATTCCTACAACGACACATCATCATGAGTGTGGATGAAAAAATATTTGCAATCAATGTTCTAGTCAAAAAGACGAAGAATGACCTGAGGCCTCGTTTTGCACATTTTTTCGTTTAGGCTGTCGGTTTTTTAAAAGTCTGGCAGCCCACATTGTCTTTTTCCATTTGATTGGAAAAATATCTAACTGCCAAAAGATGTTTGCGTCGAAAAAACACACAAAACCCATTTTGGACGATTTTTAGAAAGCTCCAAATAAAACTTTACGGTTTTTTTCAACTCATCTTCATACAGAAAGACACACTTCAACCAAACGGTCTTCAGACTGTCAAGATTTTAATGCAAAAATTCACTGAAGATCTTTCAAAAGACTTACCAAATGACCCCTTAGTCAAGAAGCTGGAAAACAGCCACTGGCGCCTTATGACGATATTAGTCAAAATGATACAAGAAGAATTAATCAAATTAGTCTAGCAAAAGAAGAAAAGAATCACCACCCTGTATTAAATATACTTGATCATTTTAGCCAGTAGTTTGTTAATACATGATTAATTTATATTACCAAAAATTATATTTGACATAAGCTGATACTAGGGAACAAATCCAGGTCAAGCACCTCGTAAGATAAACCAAGCCTAACAAATAAACAGGATAAACCACAGATCTCGTTTCACCAAAAAGGTCGAGGAAAGCAGCTTTAGGTGCATTATTTCCCCTCTTCCAATCTATTCTGGCCATGTTAGGTAAATTCCATGAAAGAGCTGTAGTAGTGTGACTCATAGATTGCACCTTGAACATACTCCAAATGCAATAGGCCATCCTCTCTGCAATTGCCTGTCTGAACATGCTGAATCTTACATAACCCAAGTGCTCCAGTTGTCATGTAAACCTCAGTGTAATTTGTGGTCAGTAGCAATGATTCAATCACTTCTTCAAAGGCTGCTCATATCAACACTTCGTAGTTAAGAGACTGGATTTTGAGAATGTTCTGATTATAAATGAGGCAACATCGAGTCACCAACAGGGTACAGCACATTTTTTGTTTCAATTATATTAGATCTGGTTAAATTTTGGTTCACAGTAGGTATTACTTCCATTAACTGGAGGGGTGCAGTGCACCACATTTAGAAATGATAAATTCCAGAATCGAGAGTGCCTGAACATGAGCGGAATCCCACTTCTAAATGATGACTTCTACACCTCCTTGATAAGCCAATATGCATTGGAATGGATCTCTAAAGATTTCTAAAATGTCAGATCTGTGTCAACTTGAAGATGTGTTGATACATGCAGGAAACAAGGTTGGGCACATTCGCATGGACTTTTTTTTGAAGGCAAGAGAAAGAAAAAAAAAAAGAATGGACTTCTTTTGGGTTTTTAATAAATTGTGCATGATGTAGCCCAAGAATGCTGCTTGGTCACTTAGGCAACCACACACACACACTTGTCTGTGTGCAATAGTATCACTTAGGTGACCCTGACTTCAATAACAACTCCAACAAAAGAGAGCACAGTTTACTCTTTAAGTTTAATTAAGGAATTCCTTTCCCAACTTTACCAAGTGAGGATTCAAACTGGTTGTTAATGGTGGGGATAAGGTTTTGGAGAGGAATGGACACCCATATAAATGGCCAAATGTTGGACCCTTATCAGTAGTCACACATGCGATTAGTTGTGAAATTAGATAGTTGATTCGCTGAGTAAATATCAGGACAGAGTTGACATGCATGTCCCTGCCCACCAAAGACCTACAGAAAGAAGAAGAAAAGATACATGGGTCATGTGCAAGGTGGGTGTGGACAATACAAAATGCTGTCACATCTTAAGACACTGGATGAAACACCACATATTGACCGGCCAAACCAAACAAATTGTTAAAAGAAACACATTTTTCTGGTTTGTTCAGAGTGGAAAAAAAGGCAAGGTACTGGATATTTAAGATAATAGTGAAACTGAGTTTCAGGGCAACAGCTTGATGTAATATCAAAATATCAGGCTGGAAAGCATGAGAAAAGTATAATGGAGCCAAGACATGCAAAAAGTGCCACAGATTAGAACCATAACTAGTCCACCCCTCCAAATACCCCAGATTGCTGGGACCAGTATTGAGTGACAAACTTTGTTTTGATGGAACTGTATTTTATGCAAAGAGCTAGTCTAGACCTATTAATCGGATATGGATAGTCCATGAAGATGTAAGCATGACACATGAACAGGAATAAACAAGAACCAAATCTTCTCTTTGCAAATTTAGCTATGATGCTATTTTATAATAATAGTTTTCATCTAGAGGAACATACCTTCTCAATACCAATACTGCGAAGCTGACTCAGGACCTCAGTGAAGTCAGCAGGTGGTGGACAAGAGAACTGCATGTTCTCCCCTGTATGCGGATGCTTAAACCTACATAATGCAGGGAAACATCATCAGGTTGATTATCTTTAAAATACTATTGGATCTGGAGTTAAATAAAACCCAAGTAAATATACTTTTCTTACCCAAGAGTGAATGCATGGAGGCAAGGCCTCTGTAATTTTGAAACCAATTGTGAAAGGTCACCATGGAAGCTAGAATGACTCCTAGTTCGCAGCAGTGATAGGGCCATGTTTCTGGTTCCTCCATACACTTCATCCCCTAACAGAGGAATTCCCAGGTATTTTGCATGTGCACGAATCTACTTCAGCATAGCAATTCAAGCAGAGTTAATATATATATATATATATATATTTAATGGAGGCATTTTCAATTTTTCTTTTCATTTATGCTTTTATTTTTTATAACAATGTATAATTGCATATTATGTTAATGTATCAATATGCTTCTTTTATGAAGGGAAAATTAGATATCTATCTAGTAGAGAGTTTCTAACTGCAGCATATGGGGTTGAGAAGGCTAAAGAGTTGGGTATTAATAGACGGATCATCGAGGGAGACTCAAAAACTGTGATAAAATGGTTGCAGAAAGAGGAAGGGATGACATGGCAGTTGAAGAATGATTTCCGAAGTTTTAAATGGATGTCAAGGAACATGGCAATCCAGGTGGGATGGGTTAGGAGATCTGCCAAAAGTTTGGCAAATAGTTTAGCAAAGCAAAGGGTTCAAAGATCACATGTTTTGGGCACATTTGTAATTCTGTCCCGGGTCAGCTTACTAAAGCTGATTTCCTTCACAACTTCTTGTAGTATCCTAAAGTTTTCTAATTAATGAAATCTTTTCAAAATTATTGATAAAAAAGGAACATTAGACAACATTTTCTTGTTTGCAAAAAATCCGTTCTGGTGAGTTTTATGCTTCTAACAATCATTTATTTTGGTTAGGGAATGTGAAAATTGCCAGGATTGGTTCCTCTTTTTTGGGCTCAAAATCATTTTGAGAAGTCATTCTGTAGAGGAAAAAAACTTAGCTTCACAAAAATGAACCTTTGGTTCAAAAGCTGTCCATGAAATAATGATCCTATGGAGCAAAATTTTAATCAAATACAGCTTTTTTGTCTAAAAGGGAGAAAAATTATATGCACAAGTATAACAGAAAGGGTCAGAGGGCCATCATTCATGAATCAATAAGAACCCTCTCAGATGAGAGACAGTTTTTACCCAGGTATTGGGCAAAAGGACAAGGTGTAGTATGACTGCTAACAGTTCGTTGATTACGCTGATTAATCCGGTCTGCTGTCAGTAAGAACCACTTCATGTGAGAGGCTCCTTATTAAATTAAAATGCTCTCTTTTTGACAATAACTCAGAATAGATTATTAATAGCAGACCATTATGATCAAAACCAATGGCATAGATTTTGGCTTGAAGATCCTTCAAGCAGAACCATCAAAGGGTAGGTCTCAACCTCCATGTACTGAAAATGGAGTACTCATAGTAGCATGATGTTAGGCACCAACCTGCAACCTTTTGGATTCAATTTAAATGCAATAACTCAGTACTTTAACATTATAATGTACACAAAATAGGCAGGTTGTACCTATAAGACAACTACCAAGTACCAAAGCCAAGAAAGAATACAACCATATCATTTCAAACACTAGGAACATGTCAGGATGCACTTTTTCTGCTTCCCTGGGTCTACCATAGGCAATTAAGTGTCAAACAAAAGACATGCCCTCTGCATATTCTCAAGATGCACCAAAAACTGGTGCAAATGTGAAGAATGGAAAAAGAAGTCCAGTTCTTGATGGCTTCATGTAACTACAAATTGAGGGAATCTTGTTCAGGGTCAGACCCCCAAGATCCAGAAATAAAATATTACTTAGAAGGAAGAGAAAGGTCCATTTTACCATCTTTTATGTCCATTAACAGAGTATTATCCTGTTTCTTTTCCCTAACACCCTACCAAGTTGTTAAGGGTCCGCGAATAGGATCTCATCACGGGTCGGTCCACGGGGAAAACCTCCTGTTTTCCCTTGTTCCTCCCTTTTCTTGAAGAACCTATCTTGCCGCCCTAAAGGTGATTTGTTCAAGAGATCGCCAACTCTCCTTCGCTCTCTTTCTTGACTGAAATTTTCGATGATCTTATTCCATATTCTCAGCTCCTTAAATAGGAGATACAAGAGATAAGAGTCCTCCTTGTAGGAAGACTCCTTGCTAATCTATACCACTTACAGATAAGATAGATAAGACTCCCTACTTAAGATAGATGAGACTCCCTAAGATAGATCAGACTTCCTACTAATCCTTGCTGAAAACAGATAAGACAAGATGAACTGAAAACAGATAAGATAAGATAGACTGTAACTACCTAGAATCCGATGAGAACACCAAATCACTGCTGCTGCCAGCGACGATATTTCTTCCCAATAAACGCGTCCATATCATTACTCCCCTCCTGGACTAAGAGCTTGTCCTCAAGCTCAAAACCCGGATACGTGTCTTGGAACTCAGTCAAGGGGAGCCAGGTGGCCTCGGCTGATGGCAAGCCGTCCCATTCCACCAAGACTTCGAGAGCACCTCGATTGATTCTGGAGCGAACAAGGGCCCGAGGTTGGGGGATGAGTTTGCCGTCTTTCAAGGGTGGTAAGGAGGGAACTCAGTCAGGAGGAATACCCGTAAACGGCTTGAGCAAGGAGATGTGGAAAACATCATGGATTCTATTGTGCTCTGGCAGTTCCAGCTGATATGCAACCGTACCGATCCGCCTCAAAACCTTGAAGGGTCCATAAAATTTAGGAGCTAATTTAGGAGCAGCCCTGTGTCGCAAGGAGCGTTGCCGATAGGGCTGAAGCTTCAACCACACAAACTATCCTGGGTCAAATGACAATTACTGATGATGTTGGTCATAGGCATGCTTCATGCGTAGTTGTGCCTATTGCAAGCGAAGAGAAACTTCAGCTAGAAGGGCATCGCGCTCTTGCAGGGAACGATCAATCTCCTCCAAACGGGTAGAACCGGGCTCATAGGATAACAAACGAGGAGGGTCACAGACATAGACGACCCGAAAAGGTGTCATTCCGAGGGAAGAATGATAGGTAGTGTTATAACAATACTCGGCCCAAAGAAGCCAATCAACCCACCGTCGTGGTTGATCTCCAACAAAACAATAGAGATACATTTCGATCGTATGGTTCATCACCTCCGTTTGGCCATCTGTTTGAGGATGATACGCGGAGGAAAAAGCTAAGGCGGTACCATGTAACCGAAACAATTCCTTCCAGAAGGCACTAGTAAAAACTGGATCCCTGTCGCTAACAATAGATTCCGGCAACCCATGTAAACGAAAAACATGCATAAAGAAAACATGGGCGACTGATGTAGCACTATACGGATGTGACAGAGGGATGAAATGGGCGTACTTAGAGAAGCGATCCACAACCACGTAAAGAACTGATTTCCCGCCAACCTTGGGTAGGCCCTCAATGAAATCCATGGAGATATCAGCCCAGATTTGTGCTGGAATCGAGAGGGGCTGAAGAAGGCCAGCCGGGTGTAGATTCTCCCATTTGTGTTGTTGACACGTGGAGCAATTACGAATAAAGTCCCGAATAGAAGTTTTCATACCTTGCCAATGGAAATCAGCTTGGACGCGATGCAGTGTTTTCTGAATGCCTTCATGGGTGGAGTTATGAATATTGGAGATGATGGAAGGAATTAAAGAGAAATCTGCTGGAAGATGTACCCAACCTTTGTACAACACCAGCCCGTCATGAAGGGACCAAGTGGAGTCGGCAGCTCCGGACTGAATTTTCTAAAAAGGGCCGTCCACTCCGATGATTGTGGCAGCGCCTTCTTGATGTCGTCTAACAAGGTGATTCGGGGATGGGAAATCCCACAAAGGAGCATAGTGTCTTCGTCACGCCTAGACAAAGCATCCGCTGCGCGATTTAAGGATCCCGCCTTGTAGTCTACCCGAAAGTCAAAACCAAGCAGCTCGCTAACCCAATGTTGTTGAGGAGAAGTGGTGAGTCGCTGCTCCAACAAGTACTTGAGGCTATAGTGATCAGTTTTGACGACGAATGACCTTCCCCACAAGTACGGTCTCCAGTGTTGGACTGCTATAGCTAACCCAATCAGTTCGTGTTCGTAGGCGGGTAATTTTAAATGTCGGTCAGCAAGTTTGCGGCTAAAGAAGGCAATCGGGTGCCTTTGTTGCTGTAATACGGCTCCAATACCTATTCCGGAAGCATCGCACTCGACTGTAAACTCGAGGTCAAAATTTGGCAATTGCAGAACTGGGGTGGAGAAGAGGGCATCCCTTAAATTTGCAAAAGCTGCATCGTCCCAAGTTGGTTAATGGGGCAGCCAATAGGCCATAATTTTGTACAAATTTGCGGTAGTATCCTGTCAGACCCAGGAACCTGCAAAGGGCCTTGGCGGATTGGGGTTTGGGCCATTCCTTGATTGCTTGGATTTTGGAACTGTCCACCGTGACACCTTGCCCATTGATGACATGGCCTAAGTATAGAACCTGGCGCTCTCCGAAAGAACACTTGGACCGTTTAAGGAAGAGCTTGTGTTGGCGCAGGAGCTCAAAAACAGTCCGTAGATGATGCATGTCTTCTATCCAAGATTTACTGTAAACCAAAATGTCATCAAAGAACACAAACAAATCTGCGAAGGTGGGACTGAAATACCTTGTTCATTAGAGACTGAAATGTGGATGGGGAGTTGGTGAGACCAAACAGCATAACTAAAAACTCAAAGTGGCCATGATGAGTTCTGAAGGCAGTTTTCTCTATGTCCTCGGAAGCCATTTGGACCTGAAAGTACCCCGACCTGAGGTCTAATTTTGAGAAGTACTGGGCACCATGAAGTTCATCCAACAGCTCGTCCACAATGGGAATAGGGAATTTATCCTTGACAGTTCGGTTATTGAGCTCCCTGTAGTCCACACAAAACCTCCAAGTACCATCCCGCTTTGCTACCAACAGAACCGGCGAGGAGAAGGGAGAACGGATAAGGCGGATGATCCCCTGTTTCATCATTTCAGCACACTGCTTCTCTATCTCGTCTTTCTGCAGATGTGGGTAGCGATAAGGCCGAACAACGACTGGTTCTAAACCCGTCACCAAAGGTATCCGATGATCGCACGCTCGGGAAGGAGGAAGTCCCTTGGGTCCTTGGAACACATGTAAAAAATGGGTAAGGAGCCTTTCCATATTCGTTTTATGCGTCGTTTCCCCCTGAAGCGTATGAACTTGTGGTTTTTTTGCTTCTACCCTGGTTCCCTACCGAGTAACTTGTTTCCCATTCAAGCGGAATGTCATCGTTAGGGCGCTGAAATCCCATAGGATTGGGCCTAGGGTGATGAACCATTTTACTCCAAGAACTATATCAAATTCATCCAAGGATATCACAAATAAATCAGCAGAGAAGGATTCAAATTCGACCTGTATTTGGGTGTCTTTACAGATTCTGGGACTGTGAACCCTTTCACCGTTTGCTATGGCTACTTGCAGTCTTGGTCTGATTTCCATAGGTAATTTCAACTGAAGGGCAGCTTGCTCACTTACAAAATTGTGTGCTTCCTGAATCCATGAGGATCCGTACTGGTTTCCCTGCCACCCGTGTCCGTAACTGCATAGTCTGAGAGGTCTTTATTCTGGTGATTGCGTGGAGGGAGATCTCAGGTTCGAACGATGCGGGTTCATCCTCGTCTTCCTCTTGTTCGTCCACCAGGAGGCAGGAAAGTCTCTTGCACCTGTGTCCCGCCGAATAAAGATCGTCGCAGTTGAAACACTGCCCCCTTGCCCGGCGATCTACCATCTCGGCTCTAGACAAGCGTTTAATGGGGGGTGCCACCATGCTGCTTCCCATACTGGATGCCGACCTGGGGACGTTGCTCATTTGAGGCTTCTGTTCTCGGCTAGTTGCAGAAGAAGGGGCCAGTTCACCTAACAGGTTGCTCGTCAATGGGGGCCCAAACCTGAGGAGGTAGTAGGATTTGAATTGGGTCCAACTGAGCCCGGGTTCCTCCTGTTTCAATCGATAGAACCAGAGTTGTGCCTCTTCCGTCAAGTGGAATGCAGCTAGGCTTACCTTGTCTCTATCCTTCATCCGCTGGTTGCGAAAGAACTGCTCACATCGGTATAGCCACCCCAAAGGGACTCCGGTGCCATTGTAAGAAGGGAACTCTAGTCTGCTGTACTTGGGAACGACCGCGGCTACTGAGGCGCCAACCTGTTGTTCGCCGGACAACTCCGTTAAGTCTGGTCGGCGGCTGTTTGTGGTTGCAACCCCTTCTGGATTTCTTTCCTTGTTAGAGAAATACAACTCCATCAAGCGTTGTAACTCTCGGCCATCGTCCTTGATTTCGCATACCTGTGTGTTGTTCTCCACGAGTCTGTGTTCCAGTTCGTGGACCCTGGACGTCAACTGCTCCAGATCGCCCATGACGTTTGGCTCTGATACCAAATTGTTAAGGGCCTGCGAATAGGATCTCGTCACGGGTCGGTCCACGGGGAAAACCTCTTGTTTTCCCTTGTTCCTCCCTTTTCTTGAAGAACCTATTTTGCCGCCCTAAAGGTGATTTGCTCAAGAGATCACCAACTCTCCTTTGCTCTCTTTCTTGACTGAAATTTTCGATGATCTTATTCCATATTCTCAGCTCCTTAAATAGGAGATTACAAGAGATAAGAGTCCTCCTTGTAGGAAGACTCCTTGCTAATCTATACCACTTACAGATAAGATAGATAAGACTCCCTACTTAAGATAGATCAGACTTCCTACTAATCCTTACTGAAAACAAATAAGATAAGATGAACTGAAAATAGATAAGATGGACTGTAACTAGCTAGAATCCGATGAAAACACCAAATCACTGCTGCTGCCGGCGGCGATATTTCTTCCCAATAAATGCGTCCATATCACAAGTGTAATGAAGCACAATGAAAAATAAATTAAACGAAAACTCTTCAGACTATATGGAGATAAGGTTTGGATGATGATGATGATGATGATATATGGAGATACAAAGTTTAAGAAAATAAGATCCCTACAGCGGCAGATGAGGGTAATATAATTCAATTTACTTGATGGTGTTATCTATCCTATTAAAATTCTGAATTAAAATATACAGCATTTGACTTTGACCACTTACAGTACCTGATGCGTACGCCCAGTTTCTAGCCTCCACTCAACTAGTGCAGAACCACCACCAGCAAGAACTTCAACTACCCTATACCTGACAAAATTTTTGGTTTCATGTTAGCACAGGAAGATACCTTTCTAAATCCTGAAGGAAAAGAAACCTTCATGGGAGAGGAAGGTAAAAATGTGGCCTACATTAGCAATTCATCCATAAGACTTCCTTAAAAAATAAGAAAAAGAGATCATGCCAAGGAAGCATACAAAAGGAATAGAAAGACTGATCAGGTGATAAGTAATGTTATGAGGGTACCATGACTTAGGTGCTAGGTCTGGCCTAGTGTATTTGGAACAAAGGTTGGAGGAACTCTCCTCCCAATTCTTCTATTCCCACTCTGCTTCCTTCTTAACTCCTATGGCCAGTGAGTCTCATAGCAAACCTGTTGTTCATCTAGCTTGGGCTGGTGTCTAAGAAGCCTTTTGGATTTGGGTTGTGACCTGTACAGCCTTACTCACGCAGTTGCTGACCTTTTACTAAAATAGCTTTCCCAAGAGCTAACACAACTCTTTGATTTTATGGTACTTCCAAGCATGGTTTAAAATGTCCATCTATTTCCTACTATTTCCACGACATATTTCCATTTGAATGGGTACCAACATGAAATATTACTAGAATCAACATATCCCCCAACAAAATCTACTGGTACTAAGTCAAGTACAAGAGATAGTACCATAAGTTGGTGACAATATTTTAGTGACAGTGTTATTGCCCACCTAATGGACATGATTACCACTTTGAGCCAGCTCAAAATGCTTTCAAACATGTAGCTTGTTGTAAGGCTTGAGTGTTCCTTGTAATTGATGTTAGTGGGACAGTTTCAGTTACTAGTCCTTTCTTTCTTTCTTTTCTTATTGTAGGATATGCCGCCAGGAGCATACTTGTAATTTTGCCTTTTTTATAAAGATTAATATAAATAGAAAACTAGCAGCTAGACCTGTTCATGGGCCGGGTGGCCCGAGGGGCCGGCCCGGCCCGGCCTGACCCCCAGACGGGCTTGAACAGGCTTTTTGGCCCGCGGACTTAACCTCAGGCCAAAAAGCCCGGCCCGCATAAAATTCGAGTCGGGCTCGGGCTTTGCCAAAATAGCCCGGCCCGAGCCCGGCCCAGCCCGACCTATAGTTAAACCTAAGTAAACCCGGCCCGACCTATAGTTAAACCTAAGTAAAAAC